TCCAGCACCACATGCCAGCCAGCCGCGCCCCCTGGTGGGCTGAGCTGGCCACACACACACACACACACACACACACACACACACACACAATAAATAAATGTTAAAAAAAAAAAGTTAGATGGTCATTCAATAAATATTCAGTGCCTACTGTTTATCAGGAAGTATGTTATATGTTGGATGTATAGCATCAGTTCTTTCAAATTGGTTCTGTGTCCTACCAACTGTAAAATACTTGTACTATCAGCCCTGCATTGGTGGATTGAAAAACATGATATCTCTGCACTCACATAAGTTACTGCCTCACATTCTTTATGGCTTCTGTACTTTTTTTTTTTTTTTTTTAACATATCCTGCCTCAGGTTTATTTGTACAAAGAGCACAGGAGGGCACCAGCCTCCACAGATGGCACCCCAGGGATCACACCAGCCTTTCTGTTCTTACATCAGCAGATAAGAGGCTTTTACTGTGGAGCCTTCACGGGAGACTGGGCACCTTTAGGAGTCTGGACTGGAGCAGAAGCTAGAACCTGGGCCTTGGCTGGAGCCTGGGCCTTTGGCTGGCAAGGCCTGCAACCCTTGGCAATGCAGGCACGATATGCTTCCCAAGCTTGGGGTGGGTAATATAGGCAAGTTAAGTGAGCCTGCGGTTTACTCCCTTTGGAATGATCTTGGGCTTGCCCTTCTTAGACTTGAGGATGGCCTTGATAGCCTCGGCACATGCATTCATGGCCTTGGCATTGTTTGCTTGCATTTTCTTGAAGCCCTTCTTGTTGTGCTTCTTGGAAAATCGCATATTCCTAGAGAACTTGGGATCTACCCCCTTCAGAGCTTCGTTCTTTGTGACCAAGGTCTCTTGATGCTATTTCTGTGCCATTTTCAGGACTGGTTGTACATGGTGTGGTTCTTGGACTTGGCCATAACTGCACTGTAAACCATGGCTGGAACCGGAAGAAGAAAAGGTGGCTTCTTATACATCCATTATTAAACTCTATTGTGATTTTCTTTGTGGTTCTGGAGGTTGAGCCCAGAGCCTCATACATGCTAGTTAAAGTGCTCCACTACTGAAATATATACCCAGCTTCTGACTATTTTTTGTTTTTCTCACTAGCGTGGAAGGCTCTCAAAGAGAAGAACATTATTGTACTTACCTTTGTAATCTTAGGACATAGGTAATATAGATATTATATGTGTTGGTTGAATAATAAATTAGAGATGAAGGGATGTATGACTGGATGGACAGATGTAAGGTTGAGAGTACTTAGTAAGGTACTATGGGAAAGAACAAAGAAAATATATCAAAACTTCTGTTATGACTCTGGCAGGCTGAGGCAGGATAATCACAAGTTTGAGCCTAGCCTAGGTGACTTTAAGTAATTTAATGGAACTCTATCTTTAAAAAAAAGAGTTAGGGGTATAGCTCAATACAAAGAGCCTGAGTTCAGCCTCTAGTGCTGAAACAAAATAAAACACCAATATAAACAGCCAGTGAAATATGAGATGTAATTAAAAACCTACCGGCAAAGAAAAGTCCAGGTCCGGATGGATTCACAGCTGAATTCTACAAGACATTTACAGAAGATGTAGTCCCTATACT